AATTTCCTCCGATGAACCTCAAAACCTTCAAACAGTAAACCACCATGCAAAAAATCTTCAGATATTCGTAATCTAACTGTAATAAGTATTTTTAAAGAAAAATCTAATGGATATTTACTTAGTTATTTGTTATTACTGTCCTATGTTGTGAGTGGCCATAGTTTGCTAATATTCCTCATCGACATCTGAGTGAAAGATCAACCTATTTACCAGCTCGAAAACGCCCTATCTCAGAAAACTTTTCAAGAATGCTTCCCTTCAGGTGTCGATATCTTCTTTTAGTTTGTGCGTTCATGTTACGTAGAGCATTTCTTTTTATTTATATTAGAATCGAAATAAAAACTTGACAACTTGTTTTATGTATGTATATTTTACTCTAAAAAACTAACAACTTAATAGAGGAAACACAATTAAAAGAAAATATCTGTAGTCATAAGCAATAATCGCCTAAGTCGAAAAACCTAAATTCGAGAAAAATCGCTTTAAAGGTTTGGATTGTAATGTTAACCTTACGGGGAGACCAAAATATTTTCGCCTATAACTTTTTTAATAGCCTAGCTAACGAGATGGGAGTTTCACATACACATGGAATAGTAGTTGCAGAAAACGATAGCATATATAACTCAATTCTTTCTTAAGTCGACTTATGCGGTTATTACTTATGACCACAGATATAAGCTGCATTTACCCCTTACTTATGTAATCGAATTGAACTCACTTCGAAATAATACACATGTATCTACATACATACATATATATCGCTACGATCTTCAAAACAGACACAACTCAAAATAACACGTTCGCCAGTAAATGCGAACAACTATTTCTTAGCAAATGCTAATCATATGGGGTAAGGGGGACTTTACCTTAATTTTTTTCAACAAATTATAACAAAAATTTACTACAACTAAATAAAGAGCAAAAAAAAATTAAGAGGGTATGCAACTCTAATTTCGCAGAACAAAAACTGTCCCTTAACCTAACAAAATTTTCGCATAAAAAGCATGCACTTGACGTGGAAGACTCGATTGAACTTAATTACCAAAAACTTAAAATTTTAGAGCGGTTAAATCTGCAGCGCCTTATGAGCAAGCAAAGTTCTCAGGCTCAACCGGCGGCCTGTTATCTTTCTTTATGGTTTCGAGAGCGAAACGGTATGATGTATTTTTGAACGAATTTGCGCCATCCCTTGTCAAAAATGGTTTCGTCTCTAAAATACATGACATTTTTTTTTATGAATTCACTGGTTTTAGAATTGCAATATTATTTGATAACGTGAAGTTTATTCTAAAAATCAATTTGCACATTGTACACAATAGTTGCGATCCCGTACGAGTCCGGACAGAAATAGTCAGAATCAGTCAGAATTTACTGGAAATCGATCCCGTACTCGGTTCTCTGACTATTGAGAGGACAAAAAAGTGAGTAAATACGGTTCTCTCTCTGTCAGAAGTTACCAGTTTCAGTCCGAGAATTTTTTGCTGGTAAATTCTGGTAAATGTGTCAAACGATCAGCTGTAGTGTGTTTGGCAACCAAATTGTAAACAAAAGAAAAGTGCACTCTGCTAATTCATGTTGAAAAGTATTTAATTACTTGTTTAAGTGGATTCTAATGAATTTGAAAGTATTTTTGGTTATTTACATGAGTGAGCTGAGTGTGTTTACATACAAAATATGCAAAAATTTACAACCAAAATTTGGAGGTTATGTTGAAGTCCTGTACTTTTCAATGTTACTCTCGCTCTGAGCGAATTTTTATTTCTTGACAGTTTTACTACTCCGAGTCCGAGGAATACGGGATTGCACCTATTATTTATCAGAAGCATTGTCTCTTACACATTGAAAAAAAGTAATAAAAACTCTAAAAAAGCAAAATCGCTACTGCGAAATAATGATTTGAAAACCTGCATAAATTCAAATCCGCATACAAAGAGACCTAAGTGTATATGTATCTCGGTAACCGTTCTACCAATTTGTACGAAACTCGGCATGGTTATTGTGCTTGCCACATAGAAGCAAAACGTTGAAAATTATTGAAATGCTTGAAACTTCAATATTTTGAAATTTAAGGACGCTAATTTACTCAAAATCGATACACCCCGGCGACTTACCATGTAGCTGTAGCTTTCGGAAAGGTGAAAAACATATATTTAATACTTGCGCCGGGTATTTAATGTTCGGCTCCGCCCGAACTTAGACTTTCTTACTTGTTTTTTAATTAAAAAGAAAATATCTTGGTAAAATTACCTGATCCGGAGAAACGGTATACAGATCCATAATATACGACCCAATATTACGTGTCTCGGCTTTTTTTGGGTCATTTCAAACAACAAAAAACCCGCATTTTATCCACTTTTATCCATTTCGAATCGATTTTCGGTTTTTTGCTGGCTGGGTATCTACTTGTTGGGTTCATACCTACATACGTACCAAGGCATATCAAACAGGTAGTATCATTAGAGTAAAAACAACATCGAAAGTGTCAAAAACTGTTCTGATTTTTGAATACAAAAAATATATAAATTTAAATTGAAAAAAAAATAAAATAAAAATTGTTGCAACTCTCTTTCTTCCTAAATTGGTTTGCTTCTCGAAGCATTGATCCATGCTGTGCCAGGCCCAGTTGGGCGAACTTTCCAAAAGCTGCCATTCAATAGTAGTTTTGTATAGAAAAAGGTTTCACATGCAAATAGATTTTAACAAATCAGAATTTTTATAAGAAGGAATTAAAATTTTCTTACATTTTCGAGACCAAATAATTTGACAAAATAAAATCAAATCAGCTGCTCTACTGATACTACCTGTTCAATGTGTCTTGGTGCATATTAACATATGGGCATTTCCCAAAAAAGGTAAACCGAAAATGCAAGTAAATGAATTTAAACGGCTTTATAACTTTATATTTCGTATTCAGATGGCGAAAAGAGGTTTTGAAAACGGGAAACTGTGGAGAGAAGAACTAAAAAATTAAATAAAAAATTAAATTTAGTATGTGTTTGTTACTAGTAAAAATATTGTATGGGGGGAAAATCTGTCGCGTCCGACATGACGCGTCCCTTACCAGATTTTAATTCAAAATTAAATCAACAACGAATTGCTTCTGATTAAAAATGAATTGGTTGTGACGGTCCATAATTAGACTTTATTTAAAAAATGTTTAATAAAGGAAAACCTTACACGATTCGCAGAGTTTTGCTTAGTTTTAACATGTACTCTGAAATCACTTCTGTTTTTGTCGCGTCCGTTATGCGCTACTTTTCATCGATTTTCTCGACTTCAGTGTTCCAAGCGCACCTAGTTTTTTGTCAACCAAAGGACGGTATAAAAGTTACACAACAGCAAATTTTTTTTACAAGTGACTTCAGTTTTCGTATGATTCATTTAACTCTAAAGTCGTACGAATGTCGCGTCCGTAACCCAGGAAATACCCATATGTGTTATTCTACTAATTCATAAAAAAAAAACGAATTAATAGGGGAAGGTAATTTGTTTAACTAATATTTTATGAGATATGCCACCTTTGTTCACTCTATTTCAGCACGTAATCATAAATTGAATTTTTATATGCAATTACTAATTTAAAAGTCTTTGTTGGGGGATTAAAAAACTTGTGCAAAAAAACAAGGAAAAATCGTATATAAGATGACAGTGTCCATGTGAATCTTCAAAATGGTTATCTCAACAAATATATAAATATAGCATGGAGATGAGATAAAAACGACGTCGAGTCACAGCGTAGCGTAGAAATGTAGAACTAATTTGTCGAACCGCGTAAAAACAGTAATTGGGACATTTAAGAGCTTACCGTGTATTTAAAAAATGGATCAAGTGCAATTTTGAGTTAGGAACTTATCAGAATTACATAGGTGGCACATATGCACCTCCAACAAGCCATCTGGTAGTTCTCAATCTTTGAAGGTGCTATCAAATTAAGGCTGTTACGAGTTATCTATCGGCCACTCGCAGGCCCTGACGTTCTTTAGTCCATCATTATGATACTTAGAATGTAAGTTTTGGGTATCAATTGGGTTAAGGTATTGGAGGTGCTCCTTTGACTAAGCATGACTGGGAGTTGTTTCCTAAGCTGGACCCATCTAAGCTATCTAAGTCCAGTGCTGTATTTATCATGGTTGTGTTGTTTAGTATACGCAAACGATTGAGGCCATTCAAAGTAGTGGAACCGCCTCCGCCTCCGCCTCCAATACCGTTAGAAGCTGCGAAACTTGAATCTACGCTTTCGTGTGCAACAAATGACGCACTAACTGGATCGTCCAAGTCCAGATCGTCATTTAATAATGCGGACGAAATCATTGCACTGGTTGGTTTAATACTTTGTTGTGCTATTTGTTTGTGCTGTTGTTGGCTCATTTGCAATGACAGTTTATGCTGTTTCTGCTCATCCATGAGGTTTGAGTACACATGTAAACTGGTGTTGTTGCGATCTTCATTGTCATTGTCTTTAGCGTCTGTTGCTTTTAATCCATTAGTGTCGATTTGTGAGACATTGCTGTACATATTTTCGGCTTGTGAAAATAGTTTCGCCAAATTCGACTGTTGTTTCTCACCACTAGTAGTTGGAGTGTTTTTCGCGAACTCTTCAGAATCTTTCATGTCAATGTTCACCGAAAGGTCTGAGATGCTCGCTCCCGGCGGATAATCGGGCGATTCTTTATCCAAGCGTTCAATAGCCGAAACACTCGTTGGTAATTTGGTTGGGGGGCTATTGTCAATATGGATGTTGGTGCTGATCGATCCACTTTCTGCGCGAAATAAGTTACTATAGCTGCCTGAGCGATTTTGGCGTTCTCGAGCCTGACTTGTAGCAGCGATTGCTGCTACAGCAGCTACAACCTCAGTTTTGCCAACTATCTCGACAACATCTTCGCTATGGCAGGCGCTAGAATCAACAAAATTACTGATGACATTGTCACCTTCGGAAGGATTCGAGATTCGAGTGTTCGATTGGGCACCACGATCTTTATGGTGTCGAAATTGACGTTGCATCTGTGCTGTTTGTGTTTGCGGTATTATGTCCATTTGGGAGAGGGGAATTTCGTTGTCAACTAAGTGCGCAAGACTATTGGAGTTTCCTGTAAAACATTTGTTGAGCAAATATGATAATAATATATTAATATAATAATATGTATGTGCATGCAAATATGTTATGTATGTATGTGTGTGTGTGTTATGCATATGTACATACTAAAACATTTGAAGCTATTCATTGCGTGTTTTTTTTTTTTTTTTTAATTTGTTTTTAATTGATATACATATGTATGTAACTATAACAATGCAAAATAAAATGTAGAAGCTAACATTAAAAAATAATTACAAGAAGCAAAATGTTCCAAAAAAGCCAGTCAAATCCAATTAATGATTGGAGTACCCCCCCCTCAAAGAAAGGGCCGAATTCACAGTGGCAAGCGAGTTTCAACCCACATGCCCTTATATTTAGTTAAGTAAACGCTTGTTAAATTTCAATAATTTTTGTGAAACGAAATTCACATTTGCAAATCGTTACCTGAACTGCAAAATGCCGTAACTAGAAAATTTGTTTGCATGAAAGGATGGGGTACTTGTAGTTCGATGAAATGCATCATGATTATGAAAAGGGAATTTCGGACGTTTTGTTAGTTACAGCCTTTTGTAATTCAGGTGACAATGTGGGTTACGGCTTTTTGCATTTGAGGGGACGACATGTACACAAAAATGTTGATCTTTCGAAGCTGTATAATTTCATAGTTCAACTCGTGATTTAACTACGAACCCTAAATCAATGTCCAATATTTATTATATGCAAAATAAAAATAATTTTAATTGACTGGCCTTTTGCTAACTGCGTACCAACCACAGCTCTCTAGGTGATTGTAACGGAAAATATGCATCACGTTAAACTTTCGTAAATATGTTACAGCTGTGTACCTTACATAGAAAAATCATAATTAACTTGATATTCATGTTCATAATTCAATAACAATAAGAATAACGACGGTACGTATTGCAAAATTAACTGTGTATGTTTTCGACAAAATTTTAAGTATGTAACCCAGTGAAAGAATTATATGTGCAATAGTTCAACTTCAACTAGTTAAATGAAAAACCAATACTAGAACTTTGATGTTTTTTCCCACTAATTGTATTCATTAACTCTATCAAAAGAATATAAAAACAAATTTAAAAAAAATATACTTTAGTTTATAACAACATAATTTAATTGTACCATTATGTTGTAATTTCCGTAGAAAATATTTACATATACATTTGCAAAGAAACAAGTTTTAGGTTACCGATAATTTAAAATAAAGTTTTGAAGATAATTTTATTTGTTGGTATTGGATTGTATTTCTATTGCACAATTTTATATTTTTCTTTACGCTTTGTGGCATATATTTTACCGAATTTTTTTAGTAAAATTTATATTATTTCCGTCTATTTGTAAAGTTTGGTTTATTTAAGTTTCAACACGTTATCATTGTGTTTTGAAAAAGTAAAAATCGTGTTGAGAAGTACATCCTAAAAATTCGCCAGTGGTATTAATGCGCATATTTGAAGCTAGTTACTCTAAAAGAAGGTATTTTGTTCCATGAATAACGATTTGGTTGTTCGCACGGTATGAAGGACAATGTTTTACCGCTGGAACTTTCAAATATCGTCAGTCGAAATTAACGAAAAATTTGCCATCTTAATGCCCAAAGTATGTTTTTTTCTTCTGGATATTCATTTTTTCCAAAGTCAAACGATTTTATTTGTTTTCCAAAGCTATACTCTGTTTACTTTAAATCAGAGATTCCTTTCGCAAAGTGCAAGGTTTGCCATTGAAGCCGAATGAATCTCCAATATTTATGGTGGGTTTTGAAATTTTTCCTACAAAATTTGCAATTTTTGTTATTTATTTCTTCACCCTAAGTAGCAAAACTGTGTTTATTATTTATTGTGAACTTTTACTTGTGACAGAGAGAGATTCAAATATATTTAAATTTTTTTACGGTATCTCATGCTGTTCCTAGTAGCTAACCTTTAGATATGTCATTTGCATCACTCTTTTGGGGTTGTATAGGGCCACCAAGCTTATGTATTTCCATAGTCGTCGGGATTTTTATAGGAATTTCTTATTATATTCTGCTGTCCGAGATTACTTCAACAGTTAAGTAACTACTTTTCATGCCACAAAAATTCATTCCTGTTATATTTCCGTGCTCTTTTTCCGATAATGCAATGCCACGGGATATTATTGGCCATAATATAACTAGGGAAAATAATAAAACGGTATTTATTATGGGAATTAGGGATGTAAATTTTCGGGGTTTTGTCGATCCCGGGATTTTCGGGATCTGAAAATACAATCCCGGGATCCCGGGATTGTCCCGAAATTCAGGTAAAAGTGCAACACATCTGTGATCATCATATTATAGTATTTTAAATCAGATTGACGTAACAAAAAAAAGCACAATTTATTGTAATTCATTTACATATTTATTAAGGCGATAAATCAGTATTTTCAATCAACAAAAACAAACATAAAATTTGACAAACATATATGTATGTATGTACATATCCTCATTAATTTATAACATAGTTTTTGTACTACAAGTACAAATGCATATACGGTCACTCCCAGAAATATTTTGCATAGATTTTTTTTTGCAATATTCAGAATATTTCCCATGGTATTTTTTTTGTTAATTTAAAAAAATATATAGATATGTGCAATTCTGAAGTTGCTAAAACATCCCGTTGATATTTTATAAATTATTTTTAGCACAAAAAAATTCGTTATAAGGAAGAAAATGCCCAACATCGTCAGTAAAAAAAATAAAAAAATCAAGGGAGTTTTTAGCAACTTTAAAATTGCACTTTATTGCATTAAATTGGATGGGCTATAAAACTGCATAATAGAATTTTTTGTAAAAATGATGATTATTAAGTTTGATATTTTTATGATAATTTGGTGAACTTAAACCAACTTTCTCTAAAGTGTGAAATTTTGATTTACATGATTTTTGTTGTAAAATGAGCTATATATTTTTTTTTAATTAACAAAAAAATACCATGAAAAATATTTTGAATATTGCAAAAAAAATCTATGCAAAAAATTTTTGTAAGTGACTGTATTTGGTACAGCAGTAACTGCCTATGTAACTATATAAAATTTTTTAAATCACTGTTTGAGATCAATTTAAGATATTATCAGAATATTTAAGTAATAATAAAAAAATTAACACATTTAAGTAAAAAATAAATATATAAGTGTATCACCTATTCCATTTTGAGCGAAGCTAAATTATTCCTTCTTTTGATGGAAATGCGATCTTAAAGAAATTATAGCATTAAGGGTTGCAAAAAATTCTTGTTTTGCCCTTGAGAGGGGATATTTGTGATAAAAATTTAATTGGCTAACAAAAAAATTGTTTCCAGCAATCCCGGGATTTAAATCGACTAATCCCGGGATATTCGGGACTTAAAAAAGACCCGGGATTGGCATCCCTAATGGGAATAGCTTCTATATGTTTAAGTTTTTACCACACATTTATTGGTGTAGATTTATGTTGAAAATTTTTGACACTGGAGCAGGCGGAAGCTGAATAGCTCATTTTGCACATATAATTATTTCCTATTGAATATTAACTACTTATTGTTTTTGATAACGGTAGTTGAAATTATAATGGAACATCAACTTAACACAGGGCTATTATAATAGAATATAATATTTTTCTCTGCGCTACACCATAAATAAATAGATAAATAGAATACAGCAGCAAAAAGTTTTACCCTTCTTTCATAGAGCGAAATCGAGGAAAAACATATAATTCTTTTACTGGGGTATATATGAACGTTTGGCGACGCATTTCTAAAAAAAAAAAAAGAAGCTACTAATTTCAGTCTTTTGTTGACACCTTTTAAAAAGCATGCACACTAGTTTCTATGTACTAGGCGTATTCCTACATTTGTATGTAAAATGAGTTTATTGCCTAAATGTTTAGCGTAAATTTTAGACACAGTGTTTACTCTCTCACCAAGGTTCATTAAACTTGGTTTTCGATAATAAGTATTATTTTCGATAATGAGTATTATTTCATTTGGTCCAAATAAATACCAAATACAAAAACACAAAAACATATACATATGTCATAAATATGTACAAGGGAAGAAAAGAAAGGAGAAAATATAAAATGCATAAAGTAACTTTATGTACCTCAGCTAATGAATGAAGAAAAAAATAGTTATTGTATACATATAAGTACACAAATAATCAATAGTCGATCGAATTTTAAACTGTGAAGCGATGGAAATGTGAAGATAAATATGTACACATGTGCTTATTTCAGGTAAATTTGCAACTTTGATTGAGTATGTTTTTTACCTTCCATAAACAACGAAGTCGCGAACATTGTCTCATTTTCAGGGCTCTTGTTGTATTATTGATATTGAAAATATTTTTTATACAAATCCAAATGCACATATATGTATGTATGTATATTTAGATGCATTCATCTTTACTAGGCTATATGGCCTATATATATATATAATAATAATAGGGCTACACTATTCACAAAAATATATTACTCATTTACTTCAATAGCGTCATAGTCCAAATAAATGCAAAAATTGAATTAAGTACGCAGAAATTACCGCTACTTCTTCTTCCATGTTGAGTTGAAATTTCATAGCGGTATCGATTACCAGTATCTCACTAGAACAAAATAGGTGCACGGGAGTATTTCTCGGACTAAAACGAATAAAATTGTCAAAAAATAAAAATTCGCTCAGAGCGACAGAGTACCATTTAAAAGTATCGTTTCGACGGACGAAATTCGCACAGCGATTTGGTTCTGTTTATACTTTAACACTGAAAAGTACGGGATCGCTTTCTAGTAAAAAATGGTAACTTCTGTCAACTTCAACAGTACCTCCAAATTTTGGTTGTAAATTTTTGCATATAAAAAAATTTTACATAGAGCACTTTGCGAGTGAACTAAACCAAAGGCATTATAAACCGTATAAACTTATAATTGTATAAACCTTATAAATTAACTGTCAAAATTTGTATGGAAACTCGTTTACACATTTCTGATAAATTTCTACAGCGAAA